GTCAGTCACTCCTACAGCACATCTCACCACTGTCCTGCTGTCCTCATACATGTCCTGTATCAGTCTAACATATTTCTCTGCCACTCCAGATTTCCTCATGCAATACTACATCTCCTCCCTTGACACTCTGTCATATGCTTTTTCTAAATCCTCAAAGACGATAAAGTTCTGTCTGACCCTCTCTGTACTTCTCCATCAGCATCCTGAAAGCAAATATGGCATCTGAGGTGCTCTTTCTTGGCATGAAATCATACTGCTGCTCACAGATAGTCACCTCTCGTCCAAGTCTACCGATACCTTCCACTACTCTCTCCCAGATCTTCATCATGTGGCTCATCAACTTAATTCCCCTGTAGTTGCTACAACTCATATCACCCTTGTTCTTAAAAATGGACACATATTTCTCCATTCCTCAGGTATTTCCTCACCTTCAAATATGTCAATGAATATTTGAGTCAAAAACCTCACTGCCATCTCTCCTAGACATTTCCAAACCTCCACTGTTGTGTCATCAGGTTCCTTCTTCATTTTTTCCAGAGCTTTCCAAATTTCACCCTCACTCATCTTTCCCACTTCCTGGTCCACATTTTCTATGACCTCTACTCTTTTTTCTATTTTCTTTTCTTCATTCATTAGCTCCTCAAAATACTCCTTTCATCTTCCTGTCATACTCTCACTTGTTCAGACGATTACCATTCCTATCTTTAACAAGCCTAACCTGCTGCACATTCTTTCTAGCCTGATCCCTCTGTCTCGCCCATCGGTACAAGTCCTTCTTGCCCTCTTTAGTGTTCAGCCTCCCGTACAATTCATTATACACCTTCTGCTTTGCCTTAGCTACTTCCCTCTTTGCTCTATGCTGCATTTCCTTCCTGTTTCCTCTGTTCAGTCCTCTCATTGTCATATTTCTTTTTGGCTAACCTCTTCCTTTGAACGACGTCCTGCATTTCACTATTCCATCACCAGGTTTCCTTATCATATATTCTCTGTCTAGATGACACACCAAGTACATTCTTACCTATTTCTCGAATTATTGTTGCTGTAGTAGCCCAGTCATTCCGGCCATGCTGAAATGTAATTTCTAACTGGCACATGCCGAAACAAAAAATAGTTTTCTGAAAACATTTTTTTAAGCTTAAGTTCTACAATATTAACTGGTTGGCAACCTGTCACTTTAAATGTGAAATTTAAAACACTATTTGTGTTACAGTACAACTTTTAATTGTTGTTACAGCCTACAATTGTTATTAATTGCTTATATTATCACAAGATTTTTTTATTTTTTTATTTTTAAACCTTGCATAGATTATTGTAAAATATTCAGTCAAGTAGCTTCAAAGGTCTGACTTTTTTTTTTACCTTTGCTAATGAATCCCTGTGCCGGTATTCTTAGGGTTTGCAACACTGAATAATTTTCCATCACCTGTTGTTGGTTTCTGAGTGACTGAGTTAAGGCTATTGCTGAATGAGAATAGCCGAAGAAAGAATGAGATCCTGGATACAAGCGGCTGAAATACATTTCCTCTGTAGGACGACTGGGCTCAGCCTTGGAGGTGAGAAGATCTGTTATCCAAGAGGAGCTTGGAGTAGAGCTGCTGCTCCTTGGCATCGAAAGGAGTCAGCTGAAGTGGTTTGGGCATCTGATGCCTCCCGAGTGCCTCCATCTGGAGGTTTTCCAGTTACGTCTCATTGAGAGGAGACTCTGAGACAGACCCAGAACACACTGGAGACCTTATGTTCTTGGGAATGCCTTAGAGGAGCTGGAGCGTTTCCTTGGGGAGAGAGATGTTTGGGTTTTCTTCCTGAACCTGTTGCCTCCGCAACCCAACCATGAATAAGTGTCAGAAATAAAATGGATGGATGGAGTACAAATGATTCAGAGTTGTTCGGTTGGTATCAACGATGAAAGTTGTACAATCAACCTCTTCTAAGTAAATTCACTTCAATAAAACTTTAATATATTAAGGATTTTTTTTAAAGCACGGATTAAACATATACAACAATATTACAATGTCAATATCATTATAACATCTGTGCTAACTTTTTCATTTTTTATATATTCTTTGGAACACATTACACAAATTTTCATCCGAGTATGTGAGCAAAGATAGATTCAGGGTTTAATAATAGTTCATACCCCTGAATAGATTAAACTCTATTTATGACCAATGGTGCCAAACGGACAACATCAGAAGTTTGTTTCTAAACTTAATAAATACATTGAGTTTACAGCAGACATCATCTACAAAATTAATTTGTGTTTCTAACATGACAGATTAGTCTTTGTTTAATATTTATGGTCGTTATTTTACTCATTTCAGTTTTTTTGATGTCATAAACATAAACTTATAGCATATGTCAGCTCTTTCTTTTTTCAAAGCTGTTAAGTAATTTTCCACTTGTTCATTTTTGACTGAGATGTTCTTCTTGTGACTTGTGAGATGCATTTAAATGTTAATTGTGAAGAGAAGAAAATGTCAATGTATGATAAATGATCATCAGGATTGTGTGAAATAAATTTACTGGGAATAACTAGCATGAGTTTTCACATTGACAACCCCACTGAGCATTTTATTCTGTTTTTTTATTATTATTATTATTGGATTGATAAGATGTCTAAACATCTAAATCAGATGTGCAAGATAAAACTGGGCTAAATTTGTTGACCTAGTGTCCTGCATTTTGCAGAGATGGGAAATAATAAAAAATGCATGGTCTATGTGGGAGTTAATCTCAGAATATGTTGCTCACACACACTAATCAGCATCAACACAGTGGCACTACTACTTTATAAGACTGTTTTTGCCCATGTCTGCATTTCTGTCTTTTACCAAAATATCTTGTGAACCACTAAATTTTTTTTATTGAAACGCTCAGAAAGGAATCAGTAGATGCACATCTACTACAACTGACTAATGTACAGAGTCAACCTAATTCAAGATGGCGACCATAGCTAATTGATCCCAAGAACACAAAAACAGCTATAACAGTCAATTTTACACACATTGACCTAAGAATTGGTAGTAGCTGAGACTGATCTTTAACGCATTTTCAATGCCAACAGATTGTAAAAGATCTTCGAGCCCAGGAAGGGCAGCTGGCGTAAAACAATTGCTAAATGTTGTTTAGCGTATTTGACATTATTTTGTGTATACGTCTTAGTTCATATCTTAGATCTTATTACCGTTTTTCTTTTACAATTTATACTTTGGTTGGATGTCACTGGGACCCTGTGTACAGTTTCGTTCCACCACATGTACCACATGAAATGTGAATGACAATAAAGAACCTTGACGTCATTCATGTGAGGTCACTCACTGTGGCAACCCCCGAAGAAGGGATCTGCTGAAAGAAACTTACCAACTTTTTATTTGCAGTCAGCTTTGTCTTTGTCTGTTAGCAAAATATCTCATGAACAACTAGACAAACTTTGATGGTGGGGAATCAGAGGATGACCATAAGATAAGATGGAACTTTATTGATCTTCAACTGGATAACGTGAAGATGGCCCCCACAGACAGAGAACAGAAGCACAGCTCAAATTTGGTCAGTTCTACAGATAGTGAGCTAAAATTTGGTGTGATGGTAGCTGAAAGTTATTTACAACACATACTAGGGGTGCATCGATTGCGGTTTGCTGGCCAATCACTGATTTCTAAAGTCTAACCTGCCGATTCCGATTTTGTTTTAGAAGCGACACTGTCAGGTGTTATAAGGTCACAATGCACCTTCAATGTTCCAGTCTTATTTTATTGAAAAACAGACCCTTGAACAATATCCTAGGAACAATACAAACTTGTTTTAACTGGCCAAGAGGTAGTGCTCTGAAATATAAATGAAGTTTAGACAATTGTTGTTAAAACTAAAAAAAATAAATAAATAAAAATCAGTAAAATCGGTTTCTCTTGCAAGTATCGGCCGATTTCCAATTTCCCAAAATTAAAGAAATCGGGGCCGATATGGTGAACCCCTAACACATACCCTTGAGCTTGAAATATCAAGACATCATTATTGTGAAGGTTTGTCCAAAACGGCCACAACTCCAATATTTCTAAGCATAAAATAATCTTAAACGTCTTTAATATGAAACGCAGCGAATGACATGAATTCCTCTAAGTAATGCTAGGCTTTTGATTTAAATCTGAAGGCCGGTTGGAATAAACTCACAGGACGAAAATAGGTCTGCAAGACAGTTGTCACAAACTGGTTTAGAAAAATAAAGTCTGGAGGATCAAATACAGTAAAATGTCTATGTGGGATAAAAAGGATGCTGCATTTTCATCACATTGTGTAAATATCTGGTTGTGAGAAACACAAACGAAGCGTTGACCTGTTCCCAGCTGCTTCACTCGGTGGTGGGTCTGTAATAGGACCAGCCACCTGAGGAGGGTCTGCTGGTCTAATTTCATTGTAGAACAGGAACTCAAGGTCTTTTCCCACAGGTGTACGGTGTGCTTTAAAAAAAAAAAGCTGCTCCTTCCCCGAATTCAGATCTAACCTTGAGAATATGGGATGGGTACAAGTTGCACATCCAAGACTTTTGAAGAAAGCTAAAAAAAAATATCACATTAAGTCCCTTATACTTAGTGCCCACTGCCCCCACCCCATGTAAGCTCAGGTATGTTAATCCATGCATATCTCCACTTTTAAATCAAAGGTTTAACAGCTTTAGCTTTAAAATGTTTTCTGACTACAGGATGTTGTTTATGACTGCATCACATGCAAACAGGAAGACATAAAAATCCAAGAGATCTTATCAATAAACCAGTTTTTGTTGAGTTCTATTACACGTACATGCTGTTTAACTCAGCAACACTGCAGAAAACCATGATAAATGAGACTTTGACCCTTGCAGCTGCAGGGTTTAATGTGAGCCTCAGACCTGTTGGAGCTCCTGCAGCCCAGTTCTGCGGTACCAACGTGTTCTCTCCTCCTCACGTGCGGCTCTGCCTGATCTCTGCCCAATGGCAGCGAGTGATGGCGGGCATCACGTTCCTTACCTTCTTCACGGATTTCAGCGTCGGTACTGCGGTGAAGGCTGCGGAGGGCATCTCTCCGACGTTCATGTTCACGTCGCTGCTGTTCTTGCTGACGGTCAACGCGGAATATTTCTCCGCCACGTTCTCCGTCTCCTTCACATATTTCGTGCCTTGCTTAACCTCCGCCTTGCTGTCCACGGCCGAGTCCGTCATTGCATCCATTTAAGTGAAACCGAAGGTGAAGAAGAAGCCGGGTCTCTTGAGTTGAAACTAGCTCTTTTCGTCTCCTTCGTGTTCTCTAAGCTGCGTAGCTTCAAATGAGCGAAAGCGGCTGAGCTCACTTCCAGCGGTTTTTCGAGCCTCTCGCGGCTTCAGTCGCTTGTTTCGGTCCTGCGATTCCGCCGAAACATCTTTGGAAAGGTGGGGGGGGCGTTTAGTTGGGACGATCACCTGAGGAAGGAGGCGGTTTGTAGGTGGAACCAACCAGTCAGTGCCGGTGGGCTGAAGGGAGTAGGAGGAACGAATGCGTTACTCGTGTAAAAGGGGTATGCACTTGTCATTTCTAGTATACATTAGTTTGCGCATGCGTAGACGGGCATTTAACGTTGCCACAGTGACAAGTTGGTTCTGCCAAGGGAGCAGAATACAAGCCCCGCCCCCTTCACTATGATTGGTTGGCAGCACCGTCAGTGAATAAGCACGGCTTCTGATTGGCAGAGCTTTGTTGTTGAGGGACAATACTTCCTTAAACTTTAAATTCATCCTTTATTAACCACTGATGTGCTCTTAGATCTACAGTAAATAAATGTGTTCCATTGCTGTTATTGCTTCTCGTCTCTGGAAGGCGCTGCTGTGACAACTCGTTTTAGCCTTCAAGTTTATTTTCCTGCCAACTTTTTATAAAGTGATGTGTTGATATATGTTGATGTGTTCATGCGTGCACATCTGCTCACAGACTCATGTTCATGTTTGTGCTGATGTTCAACGTTTTATGTTATGAGTGCTTAGTGTATATTTAGTTGATGTTTTTCTTAGTTCATATCTTAGATGTTATTACTGTTTTTCTTATACATTTTATTGTTGGATGTAACTGGGACCCCGTGTACATAATTTCGCTCCACCACATGTACCACATGAGGTGCGAATGACAATAAAGAAACTCTGACTCTGATAACAAGAATGTTTACTGTGGCGTTTAAGGAAACAATTTGACCACTGTACAAACTTTTCAGAAGGATTTCACACTAAATATTTATTTTTAGTTGTTATTTTTATCTTGGCATCCAGGCAGGATGGAGTGGAGAAAAGTTTCAGGAGTGATTTGCGACCAAAGGATGTCAGCAAAGGTTAAAGGAAAAGTTTACAAGACAGTGGTGAGACCAGCTATGTTGTCTGATCTAGAGACCGTGACATTGACAAAAAGACATGAGAAAGAGCTGGAAGTGGCAGTTGAAGTTCTCCTTAAGAGTGACAATGGTGGATAAGATTAGGAATGAGATCATCAGAGGTACAGCACAGGTTGAACAACTGGGAGATAAAGTTAGAGAAGCCAGGCTGAGATGGTTTGGACATGTCCAGAGGAGGGACAGTGGGTATATTGGTAGAAGGATGCTAGAAATGCAGCTGCCAGGAAAAAGACAAAGAGGAAGGCCAAAGAGAAGATACAGTATATGGATGCAGTTAGAGAGGAGGTAGTTGGAGGACAGAGATGGAGGATGATGACACGCTGTGGCGACCACTGAAGAGGGCAAACCCATAAGAAGTTTTTGTTTTATTATACTCTCCTCTCTCTGAAAAAGAAAAGACAGCAATCTGGAAAATATTTTAAGAATGCATCGTTTTGAAATGCGGTATAAATGTTTCTACTTAGTAGAAACATATCCAACATACCAAGTAGTGGAGTTTGTGTATTGGTTTATTGTATATATTATATAAATACTTATATGATGGGAGTTTGGAGAACAGACTCCAACATGTTTAGCATTTCTAACTTAGATGCTTTGAAAATGGGTTAAATGCAGAGACTAATTTCGCCATTGTATGGAAACACAGTGCTGACATTGTGACGACATTATTATTATTATTATAAAAACTGATTACCACTAGTTTGTTAAAGATTCGTACAGCAGACTCACAGGATTTCTTCAATAGTCTTTACTTAAAGTAAAGTCACCACGTTTCATGAAAACAACTTCAACCCACTTATAAAAATAACATTAACTGCATCTGACGGCTTAAAAAAAATCTAATTACCTACGATGTAGACAAACACCTATGATGACTTAATGATGAAAATCATCTACTGTACACAACTATAGTATGTAATGCGATTCAACACAACTCATTTTTAGGCAAAAACATTAAGTATGTATAAACAGTGTAAAATGCTTTAACAGAGCTGGCACATGTCCACATACACCGGGGAAGAAAACGTTTTGTACAAGATCTCCAAATAACCAATGTTTTTGCTCAGTGGATCGAAGATGGGATTCATATAAGTTCGCAAAGTACAAGGGTTTAAATAATTACATTTTCATATGAAGGGAAACTTTTGAATCACACAGAACAGCAATGAAATGTAAACCATCAAATGCTTCAGACAAAAAATTAACTGGTATCGTTTACGAATAGTATTTTAAGAAAACAGTTCATGTTTCTAATATACAGAGTATAGCTTCATGAGCAGCGTTGCCTCTGTGTTACTGGTTGCCATCAAATCCAAGTTTTATTCAAGTCCAAACAAATCTTCAAAGAAAAAAAGCACTGCAGTTTTTTGGATTTTTTTTGCATTCAACCAGATAAATTTAGCTTGATAATATCCTCTCTTTAAAAGAAGAAGACCAGGGGAGTAGACTGGTTCGGCAACAACTCAGCCAGATCCCTGGAAGACCAATGACGCGGAAAAAAACAAAAAACACTTAAAGTACTGCTGGGTCTACTGAGGCAGAAAGGACTGCAGACCATATGAGTTTGTCAGATGGTTAGCTGGCATCAAGAGTCTCAGTCAGGGTAGAGTTCAGATTTAAGTCACAGTGTTGGCGGCAGTGCTACGAGACTCGGATCATCTGAGCCACCGTTTCATCCGGTCCTGTCTGGGCTACATCGTCGTGCTGCTGCACAAAGACCAGAAACAAAAACAGGTAATAAATAAATCACTAAGAATTAAATATAAAACTGAGATCAACCCAAAACAATAAAACTTTAAAATTTTAAAACCTAACTTTAGGCATAATTCGTAATGTCCAACTAGGCATGAAAGACTAAATACTTGCGTTTGCACAGCGCCTTACTTGTGATAGGGCCAAAGCCACTTCCTCTGTTTCTTTAGGAGAAAAGAATCGACCTCCGTCTCCTCGCTTGCGCTGCATAGCGTGACGGTGGCGAGACTCGTGTAAGTATTTCTGCCACAGAGAAAGCAAGTGTGTTGATCAACTTTGGATTTTACAACCACAACAGCTGTTGAAATACAAATGTTCCTGTTTTCATTAGAATTTTTATGATTCTAACACAATTTCCACATTATTAAACAGTTGTTTGTGGGTTAATGTAACACAAACTCATCAGGGTTTTCATAAAAATTGTGTTAATAACTCGTAATTGTTGGCAACAAAACATGACTCTGCTATACCAAAGAGCACTTACCCTCCTTTCTTTAGGAATCTTGCCTTCAGCTTCCAGCTTGGCTCGGGCCTGTCTTCTCTTCAGGATGCGGTGGTACTGTTTAGCATTGACATACAGGGGCTCCTCCTCAAGCATTTCGGCGCCTGGCAGGGGGATACGCTGCATCGTTGAAACTCCACCTCCTCCAGGCACCATCTGATAGAAGATGCAAGACAAACAGGCATGTAGTACCTAAAACCTTTCGCATGTAAAATAAAAATCCTGACAAAGCAGAAGTACTATTTTAAATTATTTTGCTCTATAGTATAACATTACACCTATCCGGCTATGTGCACCCATACAAAGATGTCTCGAATAATAAAACAACAAAAACACCCAGGTGGCGTCTTACAAAAGCTCAAAGAGAAACCATTAGTGTAAATAAGCTCCGCTGAACAGATAACAGATCATTTTGACCGAAAAAGAAAAACAAATACTGCTGGAGCTCCTAAAGGCTGTGTGATCTGTGATCTTCCACACCCTCGTGCGTGCCATCTACATTTAGAAAGAAGAAAAGAAAAGAAATGCTTGTACCTCAGCACAGGGTCTTACCATGACCATTCCACCTGCATTGACCATGTTGCCGGAGACAGGCAGGGTGACGGTCACAGTGCCTTGGCCGCCGCTGCTGGTGGTGTTAGTGTTGGTGTTCCCTGCCTGTACGATCTGAGCACCTGCCAAGCTAGCAGCAGGAATCGTGATCATTCCTGCACACAGATGACAATACTCATTCAAAGCTGACAACTCTGTATATTTTTTCTTTGTAGCCGTCTACAGAACAAAACACAAATATGAAAAGTAAAACAAAAACACACACCTTGCTGCAGGACAGACCCATCTGCATTGACAGGCTGGTAAACAATAGTCTGTCCATCTGCTGTCTGAGCAACCTGTTGGCCTTGGACACTGATTTGCTGTCCCTGTGTAACAAGAACAAGGAATCATTAAACTCATTTCCCTTTTGTAATCATCTATGACATTATCTCTTTGACAGTATCAATAAACAAGTCCAAACTAAATCTAATGTTGTACATGCACCATTAACATGTGAATGCTAGTTAAACCCAGTACTGTACCATAAATGTTTTTAAAAAATCAACAAGAAATGTTTTAGCACAATGTACTCACTTCTGTAGACATTAAAAATAGTACTGTTATTTTGCAGATGCTGTGTCAGCTTTCTTTTTGTCTTTCTTATGTTTCCTTATGTTCTTTTTGTCTTTATCTCTTTATGTCCTTCCATCTGTTTTTAGGTCTTCTTGTCTTCTTGTGTAATCTTTTTGGTCTTTGACTTATGAGGGAGTGGTGGCGGAGAGGTTAGAAAAGGTGGGCCTGTGATAGGAAGATTGCTGGTTCAACTCCCGGTACCAACAACATCAAAATGTGGGTGGGATTGGTGAAGCACCCATACATGTCTCCACCCTCATTTGCTCCACTCTGACCCCTTGAGCAAGGCCCTTAACTCCCACCATCTGCTCCTCCGGGCGCCCTAGACAGCAGCTCTCTGCTCCACACAGAGGGCTGTGGTAGCTCGGTGGTCTGTGGTTGCATTAGGAAGGGCATCCGGTGTAAAAATAATTGCCAAGTCATTGTGAGACTCGGTGAGGTAACCCCTGAAGAAGGGAGCAGCTGAAAGAAGAAATTAAAAGTCCTCTTATGTGCCCGTTTTCATTTTTTAATGTAAGGTTTCCAGTCACCTACATACTTGCTCAGGGTGGGAGAAGGCAATGACCCGAAGATCTGACACAATCTGCTGACTTCTTCAAATAACTATTACTAATTGGCATTGTATAATAAATGCCTGTGACTGAAAGGTTGCCTGTTCAAATCCCTCTGACCTGAGAAATATGAAGCACCCACACCTGCATCACCCTCATTTGCTCTTAAGCAAGGCCCTTAAACACCACCCACCCCGTGTGGGCTGTGGTAGCTCAGTGTAGGTGGGTGCACCAGGAAGCATAACAACTGTCAAATCTTCATGCAGGTTCACTCGTTGTAGCGAGCGACCACTGAAGAAGGGAGCAGCCAAAAGGGAAAAAAATATTAATATCCAACTACGGTAAGTTAAGTCAGGTCTTCTGGACAGACTCTTGTTGTTGAAAAGGTTTGATCTTTTATCCAAAAGACTTCTTCAGTCTGAGGAGCTGCAACAAACTTAGTCTTATAAATACCTTCTCATAGTGGATCAACCAGTTTGCTGGTGACAGCCAAAACTAATTCACATGATGAAGGAGGACCAACAGCCTAACAATTGATCGTTAGTGTTCTGATTGCCACTTGCTATTCACAGAGGGCTGAGTGAAACTAGCAATATCTAAAAAAGTTGAGCCTCTGGACCTGGACCAGCATGCATCAGTTGATGCATGCTGATCCAGCTGAACACGGAGGCCTCCGCCCCATTTAATGATGGACGAGGTCTTGTCACAAAAATGGCTTCCTTCACTCCTCAACCTGTCCATCATAAAACAGGGGCGGAGGCCTCCATGTTCAACAATATCCTTACATGTCCTTACAAAACTGTTATTGTTAGTATCACTCAGCCCTCTGTGAATAGCAAGTGACAAACGATCAATTTGTTAGGCTGATGGTCCTCCATCATGTGAACTAGTTTTAGATGTCACCAGCAAACTGGTTGATCCACTATGAGAAGATGCTATTTATAAGACTGAGTTTGTTGCAGCTCCTCTGACTGGCGAAGTCTTTTGGACAAAAGACCAATCGTTTTAACAAAAGTAATCTGTCCAGAGGACCTGACTTAACTTTGTAAAATTAGGTACCTGGTTCTGTCCGGCGGTGATAGCTGTCTGGGGCTGCTGGATGATGATCTGCTGGGGTTGACCCTGCTGACCCTGGAGCTGGAGAGTCTGGCCTCCTTGCAGCTGTATCTGACCAGGCTGCACCAGCTGGATCTACACATAAGAACAATTAGACTTCTAGTTAGGTTTCTTCACCAGTCACTAAGAGAATTAATTTATTCAAAATGTAGCAGTGACTGAAGTTCACCCAAAAAATAAAACATAAACAATATGAAAATTATTGGTCAACAGTAAGATGTACAGAAACTGATAGTGAAAATAATAACTAATACTAGATCTTCCTGTTGGGAACAAAGTTCTGTCTTTTACCTGTTGTAGACCTTGAGCTCCAGACACAGGAACCTGCATTATAGTTTGACCCTGACCCCCTGACATGGCCTGCACCATGATGGGCTGCCCTGAAGATGTGATGAGCTGTCCACCGCTCACCTGAACCATCAAGGGCTGTCCCTGGACCTGCAGAGGTGCACAACACTGTTACAGCAACACTGACATAATTTGCCTCTGCATCATCAATATGTGACTGACAGGGCTGCATGCACGTCAACTCACGAACAGCCAGGACACCATTAAACCATCTGGTACATTGTTCATTCAATCTGGAGCAAGAATGTAAACATTTCCCTTTATTTTTAAACCCCAAGCATATTGCTGTTTTAATGGGATGTTTTCTACTGAAGCAATGTTGTCTCTGCAAAGTCTAAAATTACTGTTCAGTTTATTTGAATTTTTGTGCACAGCTGACACCGTCTAATGGTTCAACTTGCATGCATAAAAATGCCTGAGAAATCCTCTGAATTTATGCAAAAAATAAAAAATAAAAAAGCAAAGAAGAAGCTATAGAATGTGTCTGCCAGCAATGTCCAGGTTACATTATTCAAAGCCAAACTCAGAGCAGGTCACATCACTCATGCCTCCAATAGTACCATTTTCAAAACAAGGGTTTCCGACTTTCTGAACTTGCTTTTCAAAGCCAGAGACAATTGCAACTCAGACAAACAGTTTGTTCTTGTTACAGCCATAAGAGCACAAGCATAAACCAGAGGCTTGCAAATAAACAGGCTGTGCTGAGGAGCATGCAGTACACGTGATTGCAGGCAGTGATAAGAGACGGTGGACCAAACAGCACAGATGGGTCATGAAATAAAACCTGGGTGTAGCATGCAAACTGCAAGGCCATTAAACTGTAGCGGCAGTGACACAAGGCGGCGGTGACACCACTACCTGGAGTGTCTGCACCTGCTGACCTGGCGCCTCTGTTTGCAGCTGCACAGCGGTCAATGTGCCCTGCGTCTGCAGACGAGGCAGGACAATACGGTCTCAGACGAGTACAGTCAAGCCCAAAACTGATCTTAGCCCTTGTACATTTTTTTTCACTTTAGTGTTTTGTTTTAGCAAAAAAAAAATCTCTGAATGGAAATAATTATCAAAGATGGTGAGATGTGCCGAAGAGCATCTGTGAGTTTAAAAAGTACCATATCTGAAATTAAAATATATTTCTATTGAAAATAAGATCAGGACTTTGATCAGGTCATCTAAAATACCACTGTTCTTCTCTGGCCTGCTCTCTGTGAGGCACTACGGGTCCAATAAAACCAGAACAAAGACTCACTTCAGAGCAGAACCTGAACATCCTCTGATTTTCACCCTACATGATTTATTTATCCACCACCAAACTGACAGACTGTGTGCAATGAGACTGAATAATTAGCCCATGAACAATATATCCAAAGCGCAACATTTTTGAACAATTTATCACTGTATAGATGCAATAATTCAGTCCAATAAGTGCAATTTATTTTAACTAGACTCGTTTATATATTGGTTTTTTTTTATATACCTGTAAGGTATATTTTTTTATATAAGCTCGTGTTTTGCTAAGTAATTGATGTTTTATAAACCCATTCAAAAATCAAAGCACCAACATCAAGTTGAATCCGAGAAACTTCAATTGCAAAATGTCACATCAAACATTTAAAAGGTACCAGCTTCTAGCTTTTTGTTAGTGTTCTGTTTTTATTTTTTTTAGCTTTGAACTAGCTTTTTGCTTATTTTAGCTTTGAACTAGGTTTTTGCTTTTTTCAGCTAGTGTTTTCCATATTTTAGCTTTGAAATAGCTTTGTGCTTCTTTTAGCTAGTTTTGCTTATTTTGACTTTGAGCTAACTTTTTGCTTATTTTAGCTTTGAAGTAGCTTTTGCTTATTTTAACTAGTGTTTTGCTTATTTTAGCTTTGAGCTTGCTTTTTGCTTCTTTCAGCTAGTGTTTTCCATATTTTAGCTTTGAGCTAACTTTGATTCTTTTAGCAAGCTTCTTTTAGTTTTGAACTAGCTTTTTGCTTATTTTAGCTAGTGTTTTCCATATTTTAGCTTTGAACTAGCTTTGTGCTTCTTTTAGCTAGAGTTTTGTTTATTTTGGCTTTGAGCAAACTTTGCTTATTTTAGTGATTTCCTTATTTTAGCTATGAGCTAAAGTTTTATGTCTTTTAGCTAGTGTTTTGCTTATTTTAGCTTTTTTTTCTTCTTCTTCTTCTTTTGGCTCCTCCCTTCTTCAGGGGTCGCCACAGTGAACTCAGTCACACGAAGACTTGGCAGTTATTTTTACGCCGGATGTCCTTCCTGACGCAACAACCACAGACCACCGAGCTACCACAGCCCTCTGTGTGGAGCAGAGAGCTGCCATATAGGATACCCGGAGGAGCAGATAGTGGGGGTTAAGGGCCTTGCTCAAGGGCCCAGAGTGGGACGAATGAGGGTGGGGGCAGGTGTGGGTGCTTCATCTACCCCACCCACATTTTTGATGTTGTCAGTACCGGGGCTTGAACCGGCAATCTTCCGATCACAGGCCCACCTTCTCTAACCTCTGCGCCACCACTCCCCTAGCTTATTTTAGCTAGTGTTTTTCTTATTTTAACTTTGAGCTAACCTTTTGCTTATTTTAGCTAGTGTTTTGCTTATTTAAGCTTTGAGCTAGTATTTTGTTTCTTTTTTCATTTAACTAATGTTCTGCTCCTTTTTTAGCTAGTGTTCTGTTTATTTTAGCTTGACTAGCTAAACATCCATCCATTATCTTTTACCTGCTTCTTCCATTTTGGGTCACGGGGGTCGCCGGTGCCCATGTCCAGCAATCACTGTGCGAGGGACGGGGTACACCCTGGACGGGTCGCAAGTCCATCACAGGGACACATAGAGACAAACGAGACAAACAACCATTCACTCTCTCACTCACACCTAGGGACAATTTTAGAGTTACCAATCAGCCTAACATGCATGTTTTTGATCTGTGGGAGGAAACCGGAGTACCCGGAGAAAACCCACGCATGCACAGAGAGAACATGCAAACTCGACCCAGAAAGGCCCCTCCGGACCGGGATTTGAACCAGGGACCTGCTCGCTGAAAGGCAGCGGTTCTACCAGTTGCGCCACCGTGCTGCCCTCTAGCTAAACAATAAAAGTAAATTATTAAAGAAGCTATACACAACTGTTTTTGCATTTTCTAGCTTTTAGCTTATGTTCTGCTCATTTTAGCTTTTAGTTCAAAGTTTGGCTTAATTTAACTTTTAGTTAATGTTCGGTTTAGTTGAGCAACTAGCTAATGTTTTGCTTGGTTTAGCTAATACAGTATTCTGCTTATTTTAGTTTTAATGACTCAAGTTTCATCTTACATATTCAGAAGTCATGCCACACTCAGCACTCACTGCATTTTTTGGGGGGGGAAAAAAATGCAATTTCTATAGTAAATAATAGAAATATGTCATCACTTTAAATAAAACATTGTCAAACGTAAAATACAAAAGGTAGCCTTTAAGGCTGGCTGCTCATATCATCACAGTCCCTGTGTGCCACATCTGTAATCTCTCCATAAGCCAAAACTCCATTCCAGATGCTTGGAAAACAACCTTTGTTCTTCCTTTGATGAAGAGAGGAGACCCCACCTCACTGAACAACTATTGACCAATCTCTAAACTCTGCATTTTAGCCAAGGTTCTAGAAAAACTGATAAACTCTCAAATCAAAAATTACCTGGACTCATTTAACATCTTACCTCCCCATCAATCTGGTTTCAGGAAACAACACAGCACGACTGTTTCACTGAAGGTTCTTATTCTTAATGACATTGTTGAAGCACTGGATGCTAAAGATTATTGTGCTGCACTTTTCTTAGACCTGTCTAAAGCTTTTGACACTGTGGATCATAACATCTTGTGTCATAAGTTCTCAGAAATTGGTTTCTCAGATCACACCATTGGTTGGTTCTCTATCTTTCAGAGCGGAGGCAATGTGTTCAACGGTATTTACTCCAGTTATTTAACAGTCAGCAATGGTGTACCACAAGGCTCAGTCTTAGGACCCACCCACTTTACAATCTACATAGGTAATGTAGGTCAGAGCATCCCTGATGCATCCTTACATTTCTATGCTGATGTTTACTGTCGAGCTAAAACAGTTGCTAAGGCTTTCCAGCTTTTGCAATCCACCTTTGACATCAACCAGTCAGACTTGCTACGTCTCAAACTTGTCCTAAATGCCGATAAAACCAAAGGGATGCTTTTTTCAAACAGGAAGCTGGTCCCAGCAGTTCTTCCTCTGATTTCATCCTCAAATAGTGTGAGAGGAAAAAAACTCCATGACTCTTCAGCAAAATCGCTGTTTCATCATCACATGTATCATCTATAAACAGATTTAGCTCCAGATCTTAAAAACAAGGAACAAAGTGTGTTGTGGTTATTGGAGAATTCTTTATTTTAAGGGACAGTAACAGTCAGACCAGTCTGAGTCTGAACTCACCTGCTGTTGGATCTGCCCGTTTGCAGTCTGCACAACAATCTGCTCTCCAGTGGTAGTGGTGGCAGTGGTGTACTGCTCCATGCCTTTATTTATTCTTTCAGTCCTTCTGGGCCAAAGAGACAAACATTATATTAGTTGACATTCAATATTCCTCCTTAAACCAGTTTGTGTTTCACACAGTTTCATTTCCAGTCACAGGATTGCACTGTAAACCTTCACGTGTAATAATATCCTCCACCCTTTTCGTTATTCTGTATTGGGTTTTGACAGGATGCTTTAATTTATATTTGATCCTCAAAAATTTAAATGATACAGGATTAAACGTGAAATGTTGAGGCGATATGTCGGCCTGAGGGAACTGCCTTCAATATTTTAATAAAAGATAAAGCTGAGCTGACAAAGCCAGCTATGAACGTGGCAAAATCAAGAACAAAATGGATGCTTGGTTTTCTGGTACGGAGTGAAAATCGTTCGTTTTCATGTCTTCTGAACAACATTTGACGGCTGCGTTTCCCAGTGTGTTAACTGTAAAATTATTTAAATGTCTCTTTGTTCGACACTCACTATTTCAGCATACATGTTAGCTCAGCAGAGAGCTCGAGTTTCATCGCCAGCAGCGAACAACGACAAGGCGAAGAAGCTCTTTGAGGCCAAACAAGTCTGAGACAAAGCTGTCAAAAACCAAACCGAAAAATAGGACTTTTTTGCATTTAGCAGGTTTAGTAATTTGGTTGGTCCGTGACAAACCAATCCGTGCTGACAACTACCAATGCCTTCAATCGTGGCTCCCTTACCGTATCTTCACTGTCCGGTTTCCCTCTGATTGGCTCCAGTACAGCTCGCTAAAACCCAATCAACAAAGTGAGCGGACAAAATGGCGCAAATGAAACAGCCACGGCTGGGCTGGGAGGAGGTGCGCAGTCGCGTGGCACGTGACTACAAGGGACAGGGCAGGCTGCAGTTCCAGGAGTCACCAGACGGTGGTGCTGTTCAGTAATATTACTGTTCTTTTACATTTAAATTCTACTGTATTTCATAAGTTTATTGTTGCTCTTTTAACGTATCATTGGAAAACAAAAGGATGAGAAACACGATTCAGAATATTTTTAAATTTATTTAAATGAGATTTATATCAGACGCGTTAAAAGTAAAGCTTAATACAACAAGTCAATTCAATTTTCAATTCATTTTATTTATATGTCACCAAGTCACAGCAGAAATCATCTCAGTGCATTGAACAGAAACATATATATATATATATATATATATATATATATATATATATATATATATATATATATATATATATATATAATAAGTTAACACTATTTATCTGAGGAGCAGACTGACTGCTTTGAGTTTCAATCAACCTTTATTTATACAGGTAAATCCCATTGAGCCTCGAGGACTCATTTACAAGAGAGACCTGATTTCAACAAAGAAAGATGACAACAATGGACAACAGCAACAACAATAAACAGTTATAAAAAAGCATACTACATTTTTTTAATTTTTTTTTTAACAAATAGGATGGCTAAAAGGAAAAGGTAACAAAACAAAAAACAGCTAGATTCCAAGACAAATGTAGAAAACTAACTACAGGAAAATGTCAGTTTAACTTCATTGCAGAGCTTCAAGCACAAAGGCGACAGTGGAAAGGAAAAACGCCCTCTTGAGGAAGAAACCTTTAGTAGAACCAGGCTCAGGACAAGCGGCCATCTGGTTCGACCGGCTGGGTTTGGTAGGAACAGATACACAATTGCAGGTCAAGAATCACATGTTAAGAAATAGATTCAAATGAAAACTATTCAATTTTAACAATTTATTTAAGGAAATGTGGTCAATTTGTCCTCCAGTAGTCTAAGCCTATGGCAGCATAAAAAGCCAACCCTAACTATAGGATTTATCAAAAAGGAAAGTCTTAAGCCCAGTCTTAGTTGCATAGTCACTGAATTTAAATATCTTGGTGTGACCCTTGATCCAAATTTAAATTTTAAGAAGCACGTTAAGAATATGACTGAAGTCATTAAATTCAATCTTAAAATTTTTTAATATATCAGCCATTGTCTCTCACTTCATGTAGCTAAGACATTCATGCATGCCATGATTTTATCCAATATGTCGTACTGTATTAGCTGTTGGGGTCAGGCTGGTGATAGTGTTTTAAGACCTCTTGAGTCTTTATATAAGCAGACTTTAAAAGCTTTGAATAAAAAGCCAGTGCACTATCACCACTGCAGGATTTTAGAGAAATACAAGCTTTTGAGCTTTGAAAATTTTAGATTATTTTGTAACTTGTGTCTTGTTTATAAAATCGTAAATGGTTTGGCCCCTTCCTCCGCTGTCTGATTTTGTGTATACACGCCGCTTGTAGACAATCCAATCCACGATGATATCATCTGTGAGAGATTGTGTCATCCCATTTTGCCATACTGTTACCAGGCAATCAGCTTTTCCTGTAACGGGTATGGAACGCACTACCTGATGATGTGAGGAGCTGCAGCTCTTTGAGAGTTTCCAATTTTAATTTGAAAAAACTGTTAAAAAAAACTGCTCAGGTATGCAAACATTAAGACTGTGTGTGCCAGTGATCGAGTCTGTTCGTGTGATTGTGCATTGTGATTTGTAAGCATCTTATAGTGTTATATTTTCTGTTTTATTGCATTGTATATCCATTTTGTTTGTTTGTTTGTTTTTTTACTTGTCATGGGACTGCAGATGCGAATTAGCTTTTGCTATAATCTGGTACAGCCCATCAAATGGTGAGATTTATGTTTGAGTTGTACATTGTCCCTTTTTTAAATAAAGTTCATTCATTCAGTCTTAAAACTGAACAATGTGTCAGCCTTTCAGACAGAAACTGGAAGTTGGTTCCACAAGAGAGGAACCTGATAACTGAAAGATCTTCCTCCCATTCTGCTTTTTGAAACTCTAGGAACCACAAGTAAACCTAGAGTCTGAGAGCGAAGTGCTCTGTTGGGAAACTATAGAACAATAAGATCTCTAATATAAGAGCTAGGTTGTTGAGAGATTTGTAAGTTAGAAGTAAGATTTTGAATTCAATTCTGCAATAGACATGGAGGGAGCCAGTGGAGAGAAGCTAAAACTGGAGAGATATGATCTCTCCCACTAACTCCAGTTAAGACTCTGGCAGCAGCATTTTGGATAAATTGAAGACTTTTTAAAGAAGTATTTGGACAACCAGATAACAAACCATTGTAATAGAGTCTAGACGGGATAAATGCATGAACCAGTTTTTCTGCATCATTTTTAGATAAGATGTTTCTAATTTTAGTGATATTATGCAGGTGGAAGAAGGCGGATCTAGTAACGTTTTTAATGTGGGGGATAAAAGACATGTCCTCATCAAAAATAACACCAAGATTTTTAACATTAGAGCTGGAGGACAGATTAACGCCATCTAAGGAGGGAGAAAGACTGAAAAATTAAATTCCTAAGATGCTCAGTTCCAAAATCCAAAACCTCAGTCTTGTCTGTGTTCAAAAGCAGAAAACAGATCTAAAAACAAGTTTATTCATTTACACATGTTAAAGATGCACAGATCCCGATGTTCTGTGATGATACTAAGTCCAGTGAAATCACATTGATTTAATTTGTAGCATGACAGGTTTTTTTTTTATCTATTTTAGTTTTATTTTTTTCTGCAGGGATTCATTCTGGCTTCATTCTTTTTTTTAACCTTTTACACTGTTTCAAGGTCAAATCAGAATCATATCCTGCTATCTGCAAAAGTTTTCAGATGACTCTTCCATTGGCCTCATTACAGACAAGGAGGATAACGAGAACAAGAAACAGATCCAGCACCCTGTGGACCAGTGGTTTATAAACCACCACATCCACCAGTGGAAAATGCATGAACTGTTGCTGGGTGGAGAGACACACTAAAGAGCACTGAAATAGTGGAGTGGACTCTAGATCGGAGCAGATTCTACTTGCTAAACAAACCTATGTAAAGAACCAGGCCAACTGTATTTGTACAACTTATGATGTCCCTATGAGAATGAGAGAGTGAATGGTTGTTTGACTCATTTGTCTGTGTCCCTGTGATGAATTGGCCACTTGTTCAGGGTGTCCCCACCTCTCGCACAGTGATTGTTGGACATGGTCACCAGTGACCCCTATGACCCAAAAAGAAAGAAGCAAGTAAAAGGTGATGGATGGATGGATGGATGGATGGATGGATGGATGATGGATGGTCCCACACCTCACACAGAGCACACTTATTAATGTGATGAAGCCATAATTTAAGTCGGACTCTTGGTATTTTCTTTTAAATGCAGATTTCTTTTGGCGGGAGTGGTGGAGGCTTTTGCTGTCTCATCATTAGACATTTTTCCTTTTTCAAAAAAGCTCTCCAGTGATTTTTTTTCATTCAACCTTTATTTAGACAGGTAAATCCCATTGAGCCTCGAGAACTCATTTACAAGAGAGACCTGGTTTCAACAAAGAATGATGACAACAATGGACAACAGCAACAACAATAGACAGTTATAAAAATGCATACAGATTATTATTATTATTAATTGTTTTTTTACAAATAAGATAGCAAAAAAAGTATAAAAAACAGCTAGATTATAAGGCAAATGTAGAAAACTAAAAACAGGAACATGTCTGCATTGGCCCTTGCCAGGAGTCCAACAGATTCTTAAAGCCACTTAGAGAGGTCAAGGTCGAGAGCTTCAGGTCTTTTTGTAAGATATTCCAGGAAACAGGAGCGGAGTAGGAGCGGAGTAGTGGAGTAGGGTGATACATCTGATATTGATCAATACAAATACTAACATTAGTTATCGATCCAAACAGCATACCATTTACATTTATAGCTATTTTCAGCTTTCAAAGTCAGTGTTGAACTTGTGTTTTGGTTCTTTACACTTGCTTTTTAATTGATTTTCTTTTATACAAATGTACTGGTATTTTATGCTGTCATAGCTGAATGTCTTCAACATGCACTGTTCCAGGATTTCGGAAAGACAGCAGAGGACTGTGGAGGACAGAATGTGACTAAATGAAATAAATAAAAACATAAAAATAAAATGTATAATTTTATTATTAAATGTATCATAAAATCATTAAATATACAATTGAATTAATAAATCCATCCATTATCTTTTACCCGCTTCTTCCATTTTGGGTCATGGGGGTCGCCGGTGCCCATGTCCAGCAATCACTGTGCGAGGGGCGGGGTACACCCTGGACGGGTCGCAAGTCCATCACAGGGCCACATAGAGACAAACGAGACAAACAACCATTCACTCTCTCGCTCACACCTAGGGACAATTTAGAGTTACCAATCAGCCTAACATGCATGTTTTTGGTCTGTGGGAGGAAACCGGAGTACCCGGAGAAAACCCACGCATGCACGGAGAGAACATGCAAACTCCACCCAGAAAGGCCCCTGGACCGGGGTTTGAACCAAGGACCTGCTCGCTGAGAGGCAGCAGCTCTACCAGTTGCGCCACCATGCTGCCCTGGGTCTCAAGTCCATCACAAGAAAATGAATAAATACACAATTAAATATTAATATCCATGTTGGAGACGACCTTGGAGGAGGCTCGTAAGCACGGACCAGTGGAATGCCCACTAATCTGGCCATTTTGGATCTTAAAAGTAGCAGCAGAACAGAGTCTTGCGAGAAAAAAAAATGGTCTGCCTGAAAAAAAATCAACAATTATGGCTTATCTGAATCTGACTCCCCCGGTTGGCCTCGAAAACAGCCCGACTTGTCAAATTTCTCCTGGGATAAACTAAGCAAAGTTTCATCTTATGTTAACTGTCAGTGTATATTTCAATTTTTAATTGTGTATTTAATCATTTAATTTGTATATTTAATGATGTTTTTAATAAATAAATTATATATATAATATATATAT